CATGTGTGTCGGTCACACCGCCCACACGCTATTGAGATTTGCCTATTTAATGGAAACCAAGGCTGCCAGCAGCACATCGAACGTCGCTGAGCGTTGATATGCCAACACTGATGGCTTACTTGCAAACAAACGAAATTACTTCGCCTATCGGCCGAGTAAAGATTGGACTTGGGCAGTGGTGTCATAAATACGGAATGGGCTCATGCCTAAGTGAGGAATTGACTTCGATTTGCCAACGAATAACGGGTCTCGGAGGTTTGGGCTCGGGATCAAAGGCCAACAGACTTGTGCCAACACACTGCGGATGAAGGCCGCCGGAGAGCCAGGATTGCCGTGGCATGCATTTGCACCTACATCCACCCTACCCAATGAATTTTGGTACGCTGCCGTTTGGAGATGACATGGGACGACAGCCGTCTCTCATGTGGGCTCTGGCGGACCATCCACTGACCCCTCAGACGGACCCGACGGGCCCGACAGACGGACCCGACGGGCCCGACAGACGGACCCGACGGGCCCGACAGACGGACCCGACGGGCCCGACAGACGGACCCGGCGGGCCCGACAGACGGACCCGAGCGCAGTGATCCCCTACGACGAGCGATAGGGCCGCCGCACTGTCAGACTTGCTGCCGCGGGCTTCGCGCTCTTCTTACCAGCCCGTTCTGTAAATTGAGCGGGAAATGGCACAATGGGGTTATATAACAGCAAAAATGTTTTGGGTGTGATTCTGCTTATACGAATAGCAGAACGAGATTGTACTCCAACAGGGGTCAGAAAATTATGCAAAATATGTTGTACATGCATGAGGGTGCTCTGGAATTCGTTAAGTACACAACGTGTGATTCAAACCGTGTACATCGCGTGCTTATTTCACCCATATGTGCTGTTTCGCAAGGGAGAGGTGCTCTCTATTCGCTGTTTGTCGGCTATTTAGGATATTTGCAAGGAGCTCTGATATAAATAGCACACATTTGTTTTCTCCATCGTTTCAAAGTGAATGAGTCAGCAAACAGCTGCATCGCCCTTCCCTATCACGGCGTATTTAAATTGTGTGTGTGTGTGGGAGGGAGGAGGGGGTCAAGCCACGTGTTTCCTCTGCTCCTAGCAAATTTATGCACACATTAAACTCATATCGATGCGCATCAATGCCGACGATCGCAAATTGCGTTGGCACATACAAGAATAAATTAAAGATTTATTTCATGCACATTTATTTTAGTGCTGTGTGAAATAAATATCGTGTGCCTACGGCGCGCTACGAAAAGTTGAGTGAATACTTATAAGCTGTGCCCACTCACATTCGAAAATCCGTGTTGTGCCTTCGAGAGACAGTAGCCAGCAGGAGTGTACTCACACAGCGTCGATGAGGGTGATTGTGCCCTTACATTTAGACACACACACAATATAACTTCGCTCACCGCTCGCTAGCCAATAGCATAGTTTTACAGGCGCGGTCGGTTGACCGGCGCCTCAGGCAACGGGCCACAGGGCACCGGAGCGCCGGCCCGGCGGTTGCCGGCGCGTCCCAGCGGGCCAGCTGGCCAGGAAAACTCCAGTGCCGACTCGCAGCGTACGCCATCAGTGGCGCGAGGTCACCACCTCCTGTCAGCAGCTCTGCAGACCACCTCTTGTCAACAGCGACAACTGCGGGCGCTGCGGCTGTCTGTCAGCGGGCGCTGCGGCTGTCTGTCAGCGGGCGTGTGCGGCTGTCTGTCAGCGGGCGTGTGCGGCTGTCTGTCAGCGGGCGTGTGCGGCTGTCTGTCAGCGGGCGTGTGCGGCTGTCTGTCAGCGGGCGCGTGCGGCTGTCTGTCAGCGGGCGCGTGCGGCTGTCTGTCAGCGGGCGCGTGCGGCTGTCTGTCAGCGGGCGCGTGCGGCTGTCTGTCAGCGGGCGTGTGCGGCTGTCTGTCAGCGGGCGCGTGCGGCTGTCTGTCAGCGGGCGCGTGCGGCTGTCTGTCAGCGGGCGCGTGCGGCTGTCTGTCAGCGGGCGCGTGCGGCTGTCTGTCAGCGGGCGCGTGCGGCTGTCTGTCAGCGGGCGTGTGCGGCTGTCTGTCAGCGGGCGTGTGCGGCTGTCTGTCAGCGGGCGTGTGCGGCTGTCTGTCAGCGGGCGCGTGCGGCTGTCTGTCAGCGGGCGCGTGCGGCTGTCTGTCAGCGGGCGCGTGCGGCTGTCTGTCAGCGGGCGCGTGCGGCTGTCTGTCAGCGGGCACGTGCGGCTGTCTGTCAGCGGGCGCGTGCGGCTGCCTGTCAGCGAGTGTTTGCGGCTGTCTGTCAGCGAGTGCGGGCGGCTGTCTGTCAGCGAGTGTGTCCGGCTGCCTGTCAGCGAGTGTGTCCGGCTGTCTGTCAGCGAGTGTGTGCGCCGGATCCCGCCTGCCGCTGCCCGCCGGTCGACATCGGCCCACGCTCGTCGATATCAGCCTCCCTTGGCGACGGCTTGCCATTGCGGCCCGACGTGCGCTCTGTGCGACAGTCAATGGTCCTCGAGCCCGACGACCTCGGATCGACATCGGCACCAGGGCGACGGAGACCAGTTCGGCAGGTTGGCAGACAGCTGAGACCAGCTGGGCAGGTACGTAGTCGGCCGAGACAAGGCCGGGCTTGTTCGCAGACGGTTCAGACCATGCTGGGCAGGTACGTAGCTGACCGAGACCAGGCCGGGCAGGTTTGCAGACGGTTCAGACCAGGCCGGGCATGTTCGCAGACAGCTGAGACCACGCTGGGCAGGTACGTAGCCGGCCGAGACCAGGCCGGGCATGTTCGCAGACGGTTTAGACCACGCCGGGCAGGTTTGAAAACGGTTGAGACCACGCCGGGCATGTACGTAGCCGGCCGAGACCAGGACCGGGCAGGTTTGCAGACGGCTGAGGAAATTCATGGCGTATCGTGCACCCTTTGGCGCACGGTGCGTCGTGAATTTTCCGACTTTCGCGGTAAATCCGGTCGTCTCAATGGCTAAATCGGTAATCAATCAAGCAATCAATCAATCAATCGCAGACGGCTGATACCACGCTGGGCAGGTACGTGGCCGGTCGAGACCAGGTCGGGCACGTTCGCACGGACAGTTCAGACCACGCCGGGCACGTTCGCAGACGGTTGAGGCCACGCCGGGCAGGTTCGCAGACGTCTGAGACCACGTTGGGCAGATATGAAGCCGGCCGATACCAGGTCGAGCATGTTCGCACAGACGGTTCAGACCACGCTGGGCACGTTCGCAGAAGGTTGAGACCACGCCGGGCATGTTCGCAGACAGCTGGTGCCACGTCGGGAAGGTACGTAGCCGGCCGAGACTAGACCGGGCATGTTCGCGGACAGCTTAAACCACGCCGGGCATGTTCGCGGACAGCTTAGACCACGCTGGGCAGGTACGTGGCCGATCGAGACCACGCCGGGCATGTTCACAGACAGCTGAGACCACGCCGGGCAGGTACGTTGCCTGCCGAGACCAGGCCGGGCAGGTTTGCAGACGGCTGAAAAAATTAACGGCGTACTTTGCACCTTTTGGCGCACGGTTCGCCGTCAACTTCGCGACTTTCGTGGTAAATCCGGCCGTCTCAGATTTATATACGATGCAAATTGTGATATTCTGGAGTAAATTTGACCATTTTTGCCTGCTCAGCCCCCTACCTGCCCAACGTAGTTTATAAATCTACACGTCGACCATATGATATAGCTATTTGCCTTTCCAGATATGAAGATTTCAATATGAATGATGCAGTCAATCCAGGACCATGGAGATATACTAGAACTGAGCCCACTGCACCCGATGTTTAAGCAGTACTGAAAAATATTATTTGCCGAACCTACTGACAAGCTGTCTGCATTCAAACTAGATGTGTGCGAAGCTGAGCACTCAAAACTGTGGTGCCCAGTCAGTGGAACTGTTGCTGAGATGTTGCCACTACACCGAATACGTTCCTTGACGGCTCAGAGTAACGTGTATCTTTTTGTAGTCTGGACAGCGATATGCCACATTTCATTACATCATATCAGCAAACTGGTGGTAGTTCTATGCTGGTTCATTTTAATTTTGATGGCTTTATCAAAACTTGAAAGCAAAAATCCCTGTCTGGTGCTGTGTTCACGGAAATAGCGGTATTTGCTCACCACTAACTCGCTGTGGTGCATTGTGGTCGTGGTTTGGAAAGATAGACATTTTCTGCAGTCCATGCTTCCAGTGCAATGCTACCCAGACCATTTTTTAATACATTTTGCAGGCAATAACTTTTGTGTCACGATTGTAAGCTAAGGTAGCAGATGCTCAGAATGCTGGATTATTGTTCTGAAAATCATTACATCAGTTATTTCAGATTCCCAGCCCAAAGAGGGCATATTCAGCGGCGGCTAGACATTGATAACATCAGTGAGATGGCAGCTGATGGTTGAGGACGAGGATTACGCTTTGCGTCCAGGGCATTCTCAAGCTCAAACTTAAGGCCCAAAGAAAAGATTGCGGGCGATGGTAGCACCACCTATGCAGGTCTGTACATAGCTTTGAAAAACCCGTATTTGAAGTCTATCATTCTTATGCAGCCAAATTTATCGATTTCGCATTTTCTTTATGTTATAACATGTGTACAGCGCTCATCCTCAACTGTCGTGCGTGTCAGTAAGTTTTCACCAATTCGTATCATGCTGAATACGATGCATGCTGCATGAAAAATACGCCACGCTTGCGCGGAACGATTGACTCAGTGGAGTCAAATGCTTGGCGTACCAAAGTAAAGAGTTCAAAAACTATATCTCTTGTTTCAGTGTGATAAGACGACATTAAAAAACGTAAGCATGCTAATCAACGCGCAAACGGTGTTAAGACAGTATAAAACGCATTCACTAATAAGGTAATTGTTGCATTAAGTGGTCCGTTGTAATAATTGGGCATACTTTTTCGTCGCAGGCTTGCAGCCGTGATTGCTTCAGTACAGCCTACGTGTCAGTGCGCAGCGTGAGCGGCAGGCCTATGTGCCAGCACTCACCCTCCGCTGGCACCATTGAGGCCGGGCTCGCTCGGTGCGTGGCGGGCCGGTGGGCGGTGCAGGTAAGGCCCAGCCCGGCACGGTGACTGGGCGCTGAGTAATCACCTCCGTTTGCAGCGGCGGCAACTTCAGCATTCCCAGGTACGTCATTTGGCGTGCCGTTGGCCTCTCAACCGGTATCCAACGCCTGGGAAGTTGAGATGGCATTACATGTTGCAGCCTGCACGTTAGCTGCATGAGGCGATTGGTGCTACGGTCATAGCGGTTCTCGGTCGCTCGGACCGACGGCTGCCGGAGGTGAGTCGGCTCCCATAACCAAGGCGGGCAGGTCTTCGATTGACACAGTGGCTCTGTGATCCGTGTGATACCGCGTGATACGTGTAATACTGCATGATGTAGTGTGATACAATACGTCAGTGATACTGTGATACGGCGTGATCCGCCAGCCTTGTCCCGAGCTTGCCGGCTGTGTTGTCGGTGATGAGGTTTAAGGTGATAAGGGCTTGAACACGTTAATCTGGGCAACATCCTGGTGTAGGGCTGACTCCGGCGAGTTGTCCCAATAGCCCGATCAGGTGAAGTGGCCTAGCGTTGGTGCGGCGGAAGGTGAGCAGGCACTGTCTTGATCCAGGTAAGACGTCCGGACCGTGAGACCTGAGCGCAGTCAGGGGTCCAGCGGCGGGCGACCGTCTTCTTCCGGTCCGGCATGCACCAGATCACTTGCTGATCTTCTGGGAATTTCAGAGCCAGGCGGAGCGTTTTGGGTTAGGACAGGATATAAGCAGCATTGACTTTTTGCACCTCGGCCGGATGCTGTAAGTAACAAGGATCGTTAAGGTCGGAAAGGGAACGGTAGCTGCGGTAGGAGGCATTGTGGTCAGCGTGTGGACATGAAGGAGTGGTATGGTTCGAGGAGTGCATATATGGTCGTGGATTTCGGTCAATGTAGCTGTGTTGTCCGGCAGACACGGAAGCTTTGCACCATATGTCTTAGTGAGCTACTGTGTCGCTTGAGGTCGGCTAGGACACGGGATGCCAGATGTCGCCGGATGCTAACTGCGCAGAAACCGTGCCTGGGACGAATATAACGCTGGTAGGCTGGAGCTCTGGCAAAGATGGCCTACCTTTGGCAAAGAATGGTGAGCTCCACATGCATGAGGTAAGTAATATCATACTACGAGTTTTTTACTTGCTATTCGAAAGGTGTTACGCTGCTGGCTATGTCGCTGAATGTGGAACAACTGTCTTTAGCTATGTAGGACGTTTGCACCTTGCAATGTTTCGTCAAAGTCTGATGTCGCCGCATTGTCGATCAGAGTCAGAACAATTTGTCCAACAAAAGGTGAGATGCCTCGTTTTGGCGACAAACCATTAGCGGATGCTAAAATGCCTTTGCTCACGTGCATAGAGAGTTCGGGAGGGGGGACAGGTGAGAGGAGACAACAGTTTCATGTTTTTGTGCATTTTTGCGAGCGTGTTCAATGTATGTTTCGTTTGCTGGTGAAAGGCGGACATTTTGGTGTGCCAGTCTTTTTAGGAGGGGCTGCCGAGCTTAGTTAACATATCGTTTTGAACACGATTGAATTGCTCACACTTGCCGTTTGCCTGGGGATGATAGACTGAAGTACGAATATGTCTGATGGTGAAGAAAGCGGAATTTGTTCGGCGCTTGTTTGACAGAATTCAGCCCTGTTGCCAGATACACGGAGGCAATTAACACGGGGCAGGCATGACGTAATTTAGGCGTGGTATATATATACATATATATATATATATATATATATATATATATATATATATATATATATATATGTATATATATAAGAAGGCGCGGCATAATTTGCGCAACAAGGATTTATACTACAGTTTCAGCCCTTTTTGATTCTGTGGCGAATGAATGAGGCCGCCCACAAAACATGTATTTTGCGATAATGATGTACGAATAACCACTATAGTTTTGCGGAACGGGTCTAGAGGTTTCCAATGCAGTAATTTCCAAAGGATATTTTGGAATACACATGGTTTCCAGAAAGGGACGTTTTTCGCAATTTTGGCATGTTACGGGCTACGCAAGCTCCCAGGTGCTGAACTCCATCCTGATACATGCCAGACCAATGATGACGCTAAATAAGTATCATATGCTTTATTGATGCCTAGATGCCCACCAAAATACCTTGAACAAGTTTCTTTGATGGAAGGCTCTTGCAGGGTGCGAGGAATGACTAGCTGTAGGCCAGGAAATGAGATGCACTTTTGAGGGTCTGCCATACAAAATATCAAGTCGTCTAAGACCGTACAAAGAACGGAGATTTCAGCAAATTTGGGTTGTTCCTGCTCTGCAAGCATCTTACCAATCACCATGATATTGGTGTCATTTTCTTGTAGACTCAGCATATTGTTCGACAGAAACTCATTAACGTTATTCCATGCTACGGAAAATGATGTGACAATTAACCAGTGAGAAGCGAATGCAATATGGTATGATTGTCGGCCAATTAGCAAGTGTGGGATCGCGATGCGATCTCAGAACTATCTCATGCAACAGCTGACTGGTGAGGCGCTTAGGGTGACTCTTTTGATAAGCGCTCGGGCAGGTCAATTTTACCCCCTCCCCGAAGTTTGTTTTCAAAAATGTTTTCCCAACGGCTTTGCGTGGCCGCGTTTCATTTTGCTTAGCTATGGAAAATTAAATAGCGGATCGTCTGGTATGGAAAATGGATGCCTTTTAAGGTTGCCAGCCTGCGGCAGGTCAAAGTCAGGCCATGAATTCAGCGACGACGACTTCTAGGGAAACGTTCAATCTTATGCAACGAGGGAGGGCTAGACAAAGCGATACATTTCTGTGATAGTTTCTTAGGCAACAAAACAATTGAATGAACAAATTCTGTTGACCTGGGGTCAGATGTGAATGTCAGGCCTAGGTCAAAACCAACCTGTTTTGTTACTCTACAGCTTGCTGAATGGGGTGGCTTGTGGTACTCGTTTCAAATACATTGAGAGAAGGAACCACATTATGCACATTCCATATACTTTTTATAGCTCAGAATGGGTCCCTGACCTCACTTAACCCAGGTCAACATTTCACTTTTAGGAGCATGCCGCTTACCGTAATTTTTGAGGCTTATCTAACTAAAAAATCTTAGCAGTCTTGTACGACTTTGGTCACCATGACGTCAAGGCAAAACAAGGTCACTGACGTCAAATAGGCACCAGCAATGTTTAGCTTTAAACAGGTGTTTAGATCCTTGGACACTTTGGACACCAATTTGGAGTTCGTTCCTGTTTGGCTTTTTTGACCCAGAGGCTATAACCTAGGAACGATAAATTTCGACACAAGTGAGTTTACGTACAAGGTAATACACTCCGTGAATTTAGTGCTTTTAGCTCTCTGAGTTTCTAAGATCTCACGGCCCAAGTCGATCCCCACCTGAGCAAAGGGGTATTCAAACGACAACCCGGGTGCGTGTTAAAGATCTTACGGCCCAAGTCGATCCCCACCTGAGCAAAGGGGTATTCAAACGACAACCCGGGTGCGTGTTAAAGATCTCACGGCCCAAGTCGATCCCCACCTGAGCAAAGGGTATTCAAACGACAACCCGGGGGCGTGTTAAAGATCTCACGGCCCAAGTCGATCCCCACCTGAGCAAAGGGTATTCAAACGACAACCCGGGGGCGTGTTAAAGGGAATGCTCCACGTTGGAGGACATGAAGCTTCAGATATCATGAAACAAGACTCACTCATAAGTATTTGTACATATTTAATTAGGGCAGACGGCTCTAGACAACATAATTTCTTTATTCGGTGAATATGCTCCTGATGACGTCAATTGTCTGCTTGCGCCATCGTGAATTGCTCAACAGTGATTGAGAGAGCTCCTGTGTCAGCCTTGGCGTGTTTCGTTTTTAGTAGGGAGATACCAGAGTGGAGGTGGGTTCTGCGGAGGAAAAAGAGGATCTCAACGTCGGAGCGACGACCTGGGGAGACCTCACGCGTCTTGTGCGCGTCTCGGACCGTCTTACCACACGCATTATGCTTCCCGTGTGGGCCACGCTTGTCGCGTGGTGTAGGGAATGCCGATGTTGGCAATATATGTTGCCGTGAGCAGAACTTGGCTCAGGAGAAATGGGAGATTCTAATTTTTAGACTCGGTTTACACGATCATCCCGTGCTGAGCAGTGACCTCAGCCTGATCCAGTGGCGTAGCCAAGGGGATACTACCTCTCTCTCTCTCTCTCTCTCTCTCTCTCTCTCTCTCTCTCTCTCTCTCTCTCTCTCTCTCGCTCTCTCTCTCTCTCTCTCTCTCTCTCTCTCTCTCTCTCTCTCTCTCTCTCTCTCTCTCTCTCTCTCTCTCTCTCTCTCTCTCTCTCTCTCTCTCTCTCTCTCCTCTCTCTCTCTCTCTCTCTCTCTCTCTCTCTCTCTCTCCTCTCTCTCTCTCTCTCTCTCTCTCTCTCTCTCTCTCTCTCTCTCTCTCTCTCTCTCTCTCTCTCTCTCTCTCTCTCTCTCTCTCTCTCTCTCTCTCTCTCTCTCTCTCTTCTTCTCTCTCTCTCTCTCTCTCTCTCTCTCTCTCTCTCTCTCTCTCTCTCTCTCTCTCTCTCTCTCTCTCTCTCTCTCTCTCTCTCTCTCTCTCTCTCTCTCTCTCTCTCTCTCTCTCTCTCTCTCTCTCTCTCTCTCTCTCTCTCTCTCTCTCTCTCTCTCTCTCCTCTCTCTCTCTCTCTCTCCTCTCTCTCTCTCTCTCTCTCTCTCTCTCTCTCTCTCTCTCTCTCTCTCTCTCTCTCTCTCTCTCTCTCTCTCTCTCTCTCTCTCTCTCTCTCTCTCTCTCTCTCTCTCTCTCTCTCTCTCTCTCTCTCTCTCTCTCTCTCTCTCTCTCTCTCTCTCTCTCTCTCTCTCTCTCTCTCTCTCTCTCTCTCTCTCTCTCTCTCTCTCTCTCTCTCTCTCTCTCTCTCTCTCTCTCTCTCTCTCTCCTCTCTCTCTCTCTCTCTCTCTCTCTCTCTCTCTCTCTCTCTCTCTCTCTCTCTCTCTCTCTCTCTCTCTCTCTCTCTCTCTCTCTCTCTCTCTCTCTCT